TATATATATATATATATATATATATATATATATATATGTAATAATATAAGTGGTGATTAAATATGGAATGTATCACGCGGTTCAATTCAAACTTTGAAGTTTATTTAAATTAGTTAGTCCACTAATTAAAAAAAATTCAAAGAACGTGTTTGGGTTGGGGGGGGGGGGGAACCTTGAAATATTGACCATATAATATGAAAGATTTGACTTGGTAAAAGTGAACCCAAAAAATGGTGACCAACAAGGTGGGCTTAGACCGGGGAGTTTGGAATAGGATTTTTTTTTCCTTCAAAAAAAAGATTAAAATAGAAATCGATAACGATAGTGAAATGGATAAAATTTCGTTCATATAATGATAAAGATAGATTATTATTAAAAGGCTCATCATTTATGAAATTTTCAAAAAAAAAAAGAGTTAGATAAAGAGAGTCCGAATAAACCACTTCAATCCATAGAGCAAAGCACGTTCACATGAATTTAGTATTTTTTTTATCGAATATAAAGATACTTTATTCTTTGTGTTATAGAGAAAGTAAGAAATTCACTAGATATCTATAAGTATATGATTGTAAATGCAATTATTATTGTATATTTATTTGAGATCGTTATAAAAACTCATAAATTTTGAATCTTGAATTTTTTTATGTCTATTTTTGTCTCGTCCTATACTAGATATTTCGCGTTTGAATCATGTGAATAAAATCTTTTCCAATTATTAGGAGTAGTACCTTACTTTAACTAAGTATTATATGATACAAATTTAAATTAATCGAGATTTCAAAACATATATCGAAAATCGAAAAAATAAAAATCAATGAGGATTTTTGGTAAGAGAATGAGAATAAACAAGTCCGTCAAAGGACGGGGTCGGTGTGACCCGACTAAGAATTGAGAAGTAATACTAACGTTTATTTTTTTATCAATTTTAATTTATAACACTTTACCCCCCTATAAATTTTTTTATTACGTATAAGTCCATCTATATTTCCAAAGTATTATAGTAGTATATGAATTTTCTTATATAAATAATTTCATCAATCCTTTTTATGAGCTCAAAACTACGATATATATCTAGTTTATACATACAATGTTTGTCTAATTTATGATTTTTTGGCTCTTAATCACTAGTACTTCGTGAATCTAAAGATATTTTTTTGTAATATAACTCATTTATAAAAAAATTGAAAAATTTCTTTTAAACAATATATATTTTTCATTATGAAAAAGGAGTATTGGAGGCTTATCTTTAATATAATGCAATAGTGAGGCTATACATAGGGGCGGAGCTATGGTGTATCTTAGAGGGTTGGTTTGATTAAATTCAATAGTTTTAGTTCAAATTTTATATTTATTTTTAAAATTCATTATATATGTATAAATTATTTATTTAATAATCCATAGATACTTTAAACCTTGACTCCGATTCTAGATATCAATACGTTTAAAATAATTAATTTTCATATAATCTCAATGGTTCCAATTCAATTGACAAGTTGAAGGGGTTATAACATAAGTCTACAAAAATTAGAGAGGTTATTTGTCAAACATAAAAGATAAAAGGACTAAAACATAATTTTACTTTTGGGTTTATTGTTTTGTTTACGCGGACTCGTTTTTCAGGTAAATATATAGTTACGCTGCTTGTACGCGAACCTTACACGCATGCTTTACGAAAATACGTCGATTTTTGAATTGATATGAAATTTATGAAATTAAAAAAAATTATGGATTTAGCTCAAAGATAGGTAGAATAGAATGTATCAAAATATTTTCATTTTCTTTCACGAACTATAAAAAGGACATTGACAAAAGAGTGTAGCTTCTAAATAACGTTAGTCTCAAGGCTAATGTTCGCCCTTCCTTTTTAATCTTACATATTGCTTAAATACCGAATAAAGATTAGACTATCATCTATCGTTTATAATCATTTTAAAAATAAATAAAAATAGTTGTACTCTAACTTCTTCTATTGTAATATACATATGGGGCATTTAAGTGATATTAATCGTTGCAATAAATACTTCAAAAAAATTTTGATTGTGATAAAATAGTAAAAATCTCTTTCATTATTAATTAAAAGTTTTAAATTCAAACGACATATATAGAGTTGTCTTCGTAACGATTGGAATCTCATCTATATATGTAAGTAATATTTGACATATACTTTTGTCTTATATATTCTTCTTTTACATTAATTAACTTTTATTCCCTATAGTTCTCTCGTCCTTAAACTTTTTAGTTTGCTTGTCAGTTCAACTTTCTAATTCATTAATTAAAGAGAATTTTAATTACAAATGTTTAAACAAGATTCTTCACAAACTATGGTGGATTTACCTTGACTCAATCAATTTCAAAAAAAACAAATAAATATTATATATTGTGATAAATTTATGTACCTTATCTCAAGTGATGTCACAAAATAGCAATTCAAGGAAATATTTTGAATAGATAAATAGATCTGAGTAACAAAATCAATTTTTATATACGATATAAAAAGATCATGTATACGCTATTGATCATAAAACATTTTGAAGATGAATATTTCAAAAGATTAACATAAGAGGAGAATAAAAGAAATGAGAAATTAATAAATTTTAACAAAAGAAAATGAAAACAAAAAAAGAGAAAAAATAAAAATAATTTATTTTTTAATTGGGTCCTAAAATATTAAAAGTTGTTTATTACAAAAAAAAAAAGAAAAAGAAATAGGCCTACAAATGATGGCTTTGTTTTTTCTCTTATGCCTTGCCAATGCACAAAG